CCCCCCACACGCTCAGCCCCATGCGCGCGCAGCCGGCCCGTGCCCCCACACGCACACGCGCGCATCCCCGAATGCGCGGCTGGCACTTCCTCGCGCCCGCACGCGCAGCCTTAGGCACCCTGTAGGTGGTTGAGTCTGAAAACCTCCCTACCATTTAATTCCTTTCTTCAAGTTCGGGCTCAGCTTTGACATTTTTACCAAAAGATGACGCAGCATTAAGGAACGTCATTAAAGGGGCAGGAGCGTTTACATCCAAACAATGACCGTGCAGAGAACAAGGGCGTCGGCCGCCCGCGGTGCGCCTGGCGCTGTAGGAACCCCGCTCCTGTCCTGCGGACACGTGGCAGTGGCATTCGGTCAGTGCCCAGGACCTAGCGGAGACAGTGGCCCGAGTCCACAGGCTGCCCGCAGCCCAGCAGGCCTGAGCGCGGGGCGTTGGGTCACAGGGTGGTCTCCCACGTGACAGCAGCACTTACTAATCCATTCCTGGAGTAAAACTATGTTCCAGCAAGGTTCCTGGGAATTCCTTGGCCCTGAAGCGCTGTGCTCAGGCCTTTCAGCACCTTCCTGAACCACACACCACCCAGGACCAACTAAGTCACCACACAGCCCTACAGAGGCCACAGCCGCTGGCACAGATGGCCAGGAGCCACTGCCATCTTCTAGGTCCTGTCACAGCCCAGATGGCTGGTATCCACGGTACCTCAGCCCTGTTTTATCATGGATCACACTGAACTCTCCAATACCCAGCTCCCCCTCTAAATTGTGCTTCCCTGTGGCCAGATTCCTTTCCCTGATGCAATACCACTCAAAACCGTTCGTGGCTTCCCATGATACGGGAGGTGCTAGTTCCCTACAGGTTTCAGGACATGCCTCTGGGTTTCCAGCCACTCCCCAAGGTCTCAGTCCCCCTCCTCTGGGCTGTCCCCTAGAGGAGAATTACTCTTAGAGTTGCCAGTTAGACCTATTTTCAGCACCAACATGGGGAAAATGAGACCGCAAGGGTCTGGCTTATGCCAATCTAGTGGCTGGATATGCTCAGTAGAGAGCACAGAATATTCCTGAATAAGCTGGGTTCTTGTGATAGGATCTGACCAATGGACATACTCCAGGAAGAAACTGACTGAACATGTGCAAGACTAAACGTTAAATAACTGGGAACCAACCAACACCCCCCCCCCCTTAACTGAATTGTTACATAAGTGGGAACCACCCCCTTCATTGAATGCTCATTAGATGGTGAAATTATAAAAGCCAAATCCCAGCAGAAGGCAGGGTGGGTGTTCACGTGTTAGACTTGGTGTGGGCCCTGCTCAGACTCTGCAGCATGCCGCATTCTCTCTGTGGAACCTGTATTTCTTATCTGTTATGTTAAACTTGTTCTCTCTCTCTACTGTGGCTCTGCCCTGGAATTCTTTCCTGTGGGAGAGTCAAGAACCTGGTAAGAGAACCGGGTGGGTTGAGGCCAGCTATCGGGCACCTCGGACCCTACCTCTGACATCACCCACAGCCCACAGATAAAGTGTAAGCTCCTCGGCTTGCTCATCAATGCCTTCAGTAATCTGCCCAATCTAACTTTTTAACTTTAATTTCCCACTTCCCCAGACACAAATCTTCCATTCCAGTCATTTCAAGTGAGGTCCACAGCCTGAGGCTCCATGACTACCCATTTAGTCACACTGAAAAGCCTCTCGTAGCTTTTTCGTCATGGGCATCTGAATTCTGTCACCTTCCAAGCCCCAGCCCATTGCTCTAGCCCACATTAATGACACCTTGTCTGAAGGTCTACATGACAGTATTACTGACAGTACTATTCATTTGACACGTTAAAATTCAGTAAGTGCTGTTACTGTAAATTCACTGTTCTGTGGGATTTTTTTCAAGGAGCATTACTACATTCCTCGCGCTGTGTTTGGGGCTTAAAATGTTTTCTCAATTCATACGATAAATATGTACAGATTAGGAAATTGAGGATCAGGGATGTGGTAATTTGCCCAAGTTTTAATAGCTAATGAATTCTATCTGTCCAATCCTGAGTTTAAAATGCAAGGTATTTATGGGTGGTTGAAATATATTCTTGAATGAATATGAAAAAAAAAAGCAAAACAAAAAACCTTTATTTTTTAATTTGACTAGTTTAATATTGTTTTTTGGAACAATACAGTGCAGGAATTATGTTTCCCTTTTTGGTCAATTTGTCTTTTTCCTGAAGTTTCCAATTGTCTTTTGGATCACTCGATGTTCTGGCAGGATAAAACATGTTCTTACCAGTGGCCTAGCCCTTAACAGTACAAATCTGGCCATTTTTACCATTTAAAAATTAATCATTGTATAAGAATGCCCATTGTACTATTATAGAAACAGCCTCAACATCAAACACTAAGTTATGGGACATTTCTATAGAGAAGCATTAAAGCCACTAAAGTTTTGAATTAATATTTAATGATATAGGAAATAGTCATCATACAGTGTTAAAGGGGAAAAAAGCAAGGTATATTTTATGATTCAGATATACAATAAATACATAGGATTAATTATGTCAAGACGTTATAAATCTTTTACATAGAGGACTCATATAGGAAGATTACCAGTGTGTGACCTTGAGCTAGTAATTTAGCCGTTGTAGGATTAATTTTCTCATCTGAAAAATGAGGAAAGTTACCTGTCTTACTGGATGGTATGGATTGAATTAAGTAATGCTTGTAAAGTACCTAACACATAGTATGGACTTAATAAACAAATGTTCCTAGACTGACCATTTGCAGTGCACTACTAAGTATTACTTTCAATTAATATTTTGCTCACTGGGATTCTTTGTCATCAAGTAATATATTAATTCTATTATTGAACAGTAGTACATGTTCTAGGTTTGTTAGTTAACTGAGAAAACAGAGATGGCTACCTAAATAATCATGTATTCTCTCACTAAGGAGAATAGCAGATTTGTGCAGGACAGGGAAATAGTGACACTTAGCACAGTTGAACAGAATCATGAATGTATGCTTTCATCTTTTTATAATTTCTCTAACAATCCTCACTTATTTTCACTAGTTATTTTGAACAGTTATTTAAGTCACATTTTAGGTACATGCTTATTAACAATAACTTAAACCAGTATTCCTGATACTTATTCTATGATGAATTAACAATTAGAATGGCACATTATAAATTACATATAACACAATATATTCTTGCATTATCTTATCCTCTTTGAAATGGATATTCCTCAAGACTTAGCAGATTACTTTTTGTACATAGAGGTTTCTAATCCAGCGTATATATCTAAAACTTGCCTCTGTTTTCTCCTTGTCTTTCACTAAAGCAATCAGTTATTTTTTACAGAAAAAAAATTGAAATTAAACTATGTAACCAGCAGATGGCAATCATGACCTGCAAATCAGAATTTTTAAACAGGTAGTTTTAAATTCATTTCTAGAAAGAAAAAAATCACTGTTCTTGCAATAAATTAGTTTACTTAATATGAAATGTAGAGAAATTCCAAATGTTACATCACATAAAAATAATTACATTTCATATTTCATATATCAAAATAATTAAGATATTCATCATGGCCAATATTTAGTTTTCCAAATATTTGTTTTAATTGATGCAGATAGTTTCTCTATCAAACTTAAATGTTTTAACTTTGCACAAAAACACAGGTATAAATTTAACTGGATAGCTAAGTAATGTCTGTATCTAGCTTGATTATGTGGGCCAGGATACATAGAGGTGGTTCAGCAAACATTATTTTGAAAATGTTTTAAATTTTTCCACTTATAATTTGATAATTTAAATACTAATTTCCACTTCAATTTATACTCTT